TCCAACACCACATATATTTCCCCAAGCACCACCAGGAGTGATCCTTGAGCACAGACCCAGGAGTAATCCCTGAGCACAGCCCTGGAAAAAAAGTATGCATACCCATGTTCACTGCAGTTCTATTTGCATTAGCCAAGATTTGAAAACAACCCAAGTATTCGAACCTGATGAGCAGAGGTGAAAATGTGATGAAATATAAAATGTAAAATAGTGTAAAAATAAAAACACACTTTTCAGTCTAATAAAAGATGAAATCTTGCCTTTTGATACAAAAAGGATGGGATAACAGAGGGTCATGCCAAGCAAAGTCAGAAGGAGAAAGACAAATACCGGATGATCTCATCCATATGTAAGATACAAAGATAAAAAGGCGATATACAGTGGCCAATGAAAACAAACTATTAGACTTTGACTGCAGAGCTGAGGTTACTAGGGAGTGGTTCTACACTACATTTTTCTACACTACATTACATTACACTACAGTATACTACACTACATTAGAGAGATATTGGAACTTTGGTTATTGCAGTGCATCACTAAAACATGAATATTCATATTCTTGTGTTTACATTTTTATTATTGCAATACAAATAAATTTAAGTTTTTTGAGAGGTAAATGTGTCCAGTTCCATGTGTACTTTAGAAATGGCTATTATACAGCATCAAATAGGCCACATATTTTGTACTGGCTATAATTAGAGCACAAGAAAAGGGAACCTATGCTTAAAATGAGTTGTAGTTCAGTAGATTAGAAGCATAGATGTATCTTACTTTAGGATTCCAATACATTGCAAATAAGACCTTTTTCCAAGCTCCTGAGATTTGCCATGTGAAAAATGTGGAAATGTCCAGGGGACAAAACATAAATGTTAGCAGTCAATAGACACTAAGAACTAATATTAAGCTCCTAAAACATGTCCTCCTCAGCTATGATTTCACATGAGCTTTCAAGAACAGTTCATATAAAAGCATTTTATGCAGCAATATTATCAATTATGCTTTACATATTATAAACATAAGGCTTCATGATGTCACCCCAGACTTGCTCAAGGTCACATAATTAGGGTTATAGTTTATCCATGAATCAAAGGTATTTGATTTTCACAGTCTCTTGTTTTTATTTAATTTTTGATTTTCACAGTCTCTTGTTTTTATTTAATCTATTTAATTTTTATTTAATCTATTGCTATTATATAGGCTGGAGCGATAACACAGCAGGTAGGGCATTTGCCTTGTATGTGGCCGACCCAGGTTCGATTCCTCCACCCCTCTTGGAGAGCCCGGCAAACTACTGAGAGTATGCTGCCCGCACAGCAGAGCCTGGCAAGCTCCATGTGGCATATTTGATATGCCAGAAACAATAACAACAAGTCTCACAATGGAGACGTTACTGGTGCCCACTCGAACAAATCGATGAACAACGGGAGGACAGTGCTACAGTGCTATTATATAGGCACCTTAGGTTCCTTTCAAATAATCATAGTTACCTTGTTAAATACTTTAAGTAATATTTGACAGAAAATGGCATATTTAAATAAATTAATTTGTTTAAACAGCTCTTCTGCGATGTTTAAAAATTGTATCAATCACCTCCAATAGCATTTTGGCTATTTTCATTCTCACTGAATGTAGGGGGATACAAAGGCAGAAAAATAGATGCCATCCCTGGGTGTTATCAAGCTCAATATTGAAATAAACAATCATACAAGAGGAGGGCCAATGTCTATGGATCAGACCATGTGGGACTTCTACCTCATGTTAATAAGTATTCTTGTTCTATCGAAGGAGAGTCAGAGTGATAATTAGAGGGGAGTGAAATGATCAGATTTGATATTTGAATATTCATTCTGGCTGCAGTAGAGCAAAAATGAGGTGCCAGGCAACCAGCAATTACTTGTCCTCAAGTGTAATAGTGATGAAGCTATTGCTGTAATACAAGCACAGGGTAATGATAGCTCAACTATAGTCATGGAGATTGAGATGAGAAATGTGGGCAGGTCTGGGAAATATTTGAGATACAAAATCAATAGGAATTGATGAACAACCAAATGTGGTAAGTGATGAAAGGGGATTCTTAGAGATGATGGCGTAGCTTTTGGTTGTCAACAATGAAACAAGCACAGTAAAACAGGAATATAATTTATAGGAAGTAAAAATTTGAGTTTGACATGTAGAGTGTGAGGACACTCTAAGACAGAAACTGTTTATGAAGAAGTTGAATGTACATATTTGAACAGAAACACATATACATATTCAAATGCCATGTTCAATAAAGGGTGATGGGTTATAGATTAGCAAATATTGTCTAAAAGAGTAGACATGGAGCTGGAGCGATAGCACAACAGGTAGGGCATTTGCCTTGCACGTGGCCAACCCGGGTTCTATTTTCAGCATCCCATATGGTCCCCTGAGCACCGCCAGGAGTAATTCCAGAGTGCAGAGTCAGGAGTAACCCCTGTGCATTGCTGGGTGTGACCCAAAAAGCAAATAAATAAATAAAGAAATAAATATAAAAGACTAAAAAAAGAGAGGACATAAAATACAGTCTTTAGATCATGGTGCTTTAATAAATTTAAAACACAATAAACACATGCAATCTAAAAATAGAATATAGCTTTAAAAAACATACAAACCAGGGAGGAATGCCTGCCAAGAAGAAAGAATAGGAGACAAACCTGGAGTGTATCATGTCACAGGGTTAAGAGAAGAAAAGTACATTTAAGAGAGCAGAATGTGATTGCTAGGGACTGGGATGAGGGGGAATTAAGAGCTAATAATCAATGGGTAATAAGTTTGGGTAATGCTAAATGGATAAGTTCTAGAGATCCACTGTAAAATACTGTGGGAATAATAAACAAAATTATACTACACACTTAAAAATTTGTCATGAGGGTCTAACTCAGGTTATTCTTATCATAATAAAATTTTAAAGGATCAACCACTGCATGCCTTGGAAACGCAAAGTAAGATGTCAACAGAAGAATATTCTTTGTGGCCTTAGTTACAAGGAATTCAATGGCAGATTAAAGGGAGCACTGTTTCTATTGACAGGGCTGGAATCTAATTAAGAGCCAAGAAGTAAAATGAGGAAGCTAAATTTAACTTATTGCTGAAGTCTTTTTCAACTCTAAAAAAAAAAAAAAATCTATGATTTCATGCTGCTGGCCAGAATCTCACCTTTTCACCTGTTTCCATACTCATCCAATATTAATTAAAAAAATCTGCTGTTGAAAGAAATGGTTTGCAAAGACTATTACATTAAGCATCATTACAACCTCAAACAAATAGAGTCAAATCCCTATTTTTCTTCATTTATACATCCCTTTTATTTCGTAAGGAATGACAAGCACAAAAGAATCTTATGTGACTTTTTCTACATAGCACTAATTGAAGAAATATATTTCCAGATGCTGACTTTATTTTGGGGGTCAGGATTGCAGGGATAAAATAAAGTCAGAATTTCTATGTGGATGAATTGGTAGATTTGAAGCCAGTGCAGGGATGCCTCACACTACACTAGTGTTTTCCTTTCCAAACAAATCACTTCTCTGGACTTTGAGAGTTAAGAAAGCACATCCAAAGAATTGATTTCTGTGCTTAAGCAGAATGCTTGGGCACTGCTACTTTTCATTTAAAGAGAGGCTGCTACATCCTCACTGTCTTAGTAGGCTAGAAAGGCATATAGATCTCTGCTACTTAAAGTAGATCAGTGGACCGGACAAGGGGTGTCAATCTCAGCTAGAAACTGTCAGGAATGCAGAATTCCAGGTTCCACCCCAGATTTACTAGATCAGAATCTGCACTTCAATAAGATCCTCTGGTGACTTACATTAACGTTAAAGGCTAAAATAATTTACTAATTTTCCCTCAGAATCCACCTTTTTAAAAAGTATAAAATTCTTGGCTACTCTGCACTGACATTTAAATTGAGACAAGGGCAGGTTGGTCTTTTATGGACTGAAAATTAATCATATTGATTTGCTTTAAAATTAAGACCTGCAGTGGAATGCCTAGGTGACTACTGTGGAATATTTTACAGATAGAAAGTAGACTACTAATCCAGCAAATGACAGAACAAGAATTTTTCATTCTACCTTACCAGAAGCTACAAGTTACTTGCACTGAGCGATTTGTCCTCCCTCTATTTTATTAATAATAATAAATATTGTACATTTCTTTCGAAATAACAAGGTAACCGGACCTGCTTTATACAGAATTTATAAAATTTCGCTACTTTCTGTCACTTTGACCAACTTAGAACACTTATCCTGCAGTATGTCTCTCCCTGGTGATTTACATCTCAAATAGGCAGAAACAGCTCAATCTGCAGCCTCGCCCCTCCCTCCATTCTTTACACACGGCCCTCCCTGCTCTAACCTTTAACCAGGGCAGGAAAAGATTGCTACTGCCCCCTGCTGGTCTACTGTCTTTTTTTCATCCAATACAAATGTGAGTAGACGATGCCAGGGGATGTTGAGCTCCTGAAGAAAGCTCAGTGGAAAAGGGCTGTTCCTAGTGGAAAGGGACAGGGATCTGTAAGCAACAGGGAACTGAAATGAAACAAAAGCACTTAGGGGAAAGGAAGGCATAAGGAGCTTCGAAACTAAATTATGGGTCCTCAAGAACCTTTTTCTGCATCTGGGCTTCTCTATGCCAAAGTAGTATCTCTTTTTAAAAAATCAGGACTGCTCTTTTGCCTTCAGTTCCCGCTGAGCAGAAGTGGGAGTTCTTGCACCCCTAGTATAATTTCCGTACTCCAGAACCTGTTCTCTACTTCTCTCGAATTCCCTTCCACACTTTAGACCTCATCCCTGTCTTTTTTTCTGCTTCCAACTCTCGTCCCGCCCCTCCACGGACAGTCTCCCGTTTCCAGGAGCTCGGACCCCAGCCTCTTTGAACCTCTCCGTCTACGCTGACCTCTGGTCTCCCCGGGTACTTTTCTCGCTCCGTCGCTGAAAGAGCGAGTCGCTCCTTTCACCTGTGAGCTAGAGGCTGGTCCCCTCTAGAATGTCTCTTCCCGACCCCCGCCCCAAGCGACTGAAAAAGGAAACATGCGCACTTCAGAGCTAGGAGCTGTCCGAGTGCTGAAATTTATAGGCTGGGTAAGATCACGTCTCCGTCTCTTTCTGTAGCCCTCTCATTCCAGCACAGGATCTCAGCTCTTTCGCCCTCTTCTCCCCACCCACTCCAGCGCACAGAGTCCTTTCCCCCGACTCATTTACAACTTCTTTTTAAAAGAGAACATTTTCTAGAGAAAAGAAATTTTCTAAAAAGAAAGGACTTAAAACAAAAGCCACCCGACTTCAAGCATGGCATTGTCACCAGCCCCCTTTGCATGGTGATGCTATTAAGGTAGTAGCGTTTTTATTATTTTGGAAAAGCAGCGGGAGGGGAGGGGGGTCCGTCAGTTCTTAGGCTTTGTCTTTACTGGGCAAAGTGATGGTCCTGAGCACTGATTTGACCTGACCATGATGCCTAGGACTGGTACTTTTTGTTTTTTCTCAGCAAACTGTACAAACCCAAATCTCTTTCTAATTTTCAAGGAAACTAGATTCCTGCCAAATTTTGAACCTGGACAATAGATACTTTGTCCTAGCTTCTTTCTGGACTCATTTGGGGGATATTTTCCACAAGCATCACGGAAACAGGGATGAACCGGCAGCTAGTGAACATTTTGACAGCCTTGTTTGCATTTTTCTTACAGACAAGCCACTTCAGGTAAGTGAAAGGACTTTGCATGCTGATATTTTCCACATGAAAACTGCTTGAAAGAGAATGTGTCATATAATTGTTATCTATTTTATGATCTCAACCATGTTATTTAAATTTTATAGGGGAGAGTTACATTTCTTTTGTTCTTTTAAAAAGCTTAATTATGGTGGGAGAGTGGTAAATTTTCACAAAGGCAAGTTTCAAGATGCATAACCCCGCTCTATGCATTTTAACAATGTTCACTGCCAATATGATATACAGGCAGTCTGATGAGTTGCATGGTCTTTACGCTTCTATATAACAGTGGCTATTCTTTTGCTTTCAAATTCTTCTGAAAGTCCTTTAAAGGAATTGTTGGATGCAATGCTTTTCATATTTTAAGTGACTGGATTAATTTGATAGGAACATGCTGATTTCATATAAAATGTTTTTTAAATTCTAATTCTTAACCAACTTGGAACTTCTATTGTATTTCAGCAAGTAGAGGCATACAATTAGGACTACAATTCAGAAAATTTCTCAAAACATCAGAAGCATTTAAAATTTTATTTTACCTTTATATTCTACTATTTGGTATACTTGGAAATTGATTGCCTTATCAAAATTAAATTAATATAACCTCTTTGTATTTATGGATGCATGAGAAAAACTTTGCATAATTAAAATAAGTGAAAAATCATGATTTGCATGATTATATTTTCTACCTAATTTACAAAATGCTAAAAATTGACATTATGAAATATCATATTACCAGTAAATGAAATAGTCATACTAGTTATACTAATGGCAGAGGGTCTAGGCCAGGATAAAGGTAGGAGATGTTCATACAACAAAGTGTAGGACTCTTCATTTATTTTCACCAAATGTTATGATATTTTTTCACAGAACCAAGAAAAATGGAACATATAGCAGTAATGCTATATGAGTACTGGGAAAACCCACTATGTTCCTTTCAGGTTCACACCTACTATTATGATTAAGAAAAATTGTAGGCTGGGTTTTATTAGAATCATCATCATCATCATCATCTTCATCACCACCACATCATAATCAAATAATATTTGATTAATCAGATGAATCTGCATATGGGAATGTGAGTATTTTTAGATGATTATATCAATTTTAACTCCTACCAAATGTTTATTTCATCTTTGCACTTACATTTCATACTACTTTGAAAAACTTGCAAGAATGTGGTGTTTTCTTAGTGACAGCGGTAATGAAAGTATTTGTTACAAACTGTTGAAAATAAAGCCCGCAAAGTGTGTACTTTGGGAAGAAACCAAGGCAGAGGCAATACATATTGTGAAGGATTTCATTTCACTACAATTCAAATAAGCTCTTTTTATAAGCCCTTTAAGAAAACTAAAAATTTGAACATTTTTCAAATCGTACTTAGTGGTTTTTCACAAACACAAATGACTGAAAAATTCTTTTTTGAAGGTACTTCATTGGCTAGCCAAAAATTTTGATGCAAATATATAAGTAACAATAGATAACATAATCAAAGTATAAACACACTCATTGTCAACCTATTTTAAGTGAAGTTATGTTTCCAAGCAATAATTTTCTTAGACAATACACTGAAAATTATTAATAGTTGACAGCTGAAATAGAATTTAGCAGGTGAGAAAATAAGCAATGAGATAATTAGTAACTACTTACTTTTTTTTCTGTCCACCTTATTATATATCTTTCTTCTGAAACTAAGATACTTATATAAAGGACTGAATGCTATGAGACTTTTAAGTCATAAGGAAATTATTTTAAGACAAACATACATTTTGAACACCATTTTTCCTGATGACTTTAGAAAAGAAACTAGTTTTAGCTATATATATGTAATATCTATAACTAAAAACCATGCACGTTGTATCATCTTACAGCTAAAGTTTGGAAACTTTTGAGGTATGATACAGGATTCACACTCTTCAATAGTTAGGGTTAACTTTGGAAATATATAAAATCAGAAGTAAACCATAAAGTATGTGATTCTGTAATAAACATGCTAAGTATATTTAACAATACATGGTATTATACATTCTGTGGGCATCAGTTATCAGGTAACAAGAACAGAACTGTTTCTAAAAGAGTTAATGATGTATTTAGGACAACTTTCTGCAAAGACCATGACTCCAGGTCTGGAAAACAACCTTCGCAGACCCTATCTCCCTCAGATTTCTTGGACAAATTAATGGGAAGAACATCAGGATATGATGCAAGGATCAGGCCAAATTTTAAAGGTAGGTTTTTTCCCCTTAAATCCGGATAAGCTTGTTGGAAATATAGATGTTTGAATGCTCTGAAAATATTTTAGGATTTTTTATTATAAAATGGAAACAAGCATTAGTTTGATTTTCATGAAGCTTTCCCTGGTTTAAGTAGCTTAAATGATACATGTTGCTTTCTGTTCTTGAAAACTTTCCTTATGTTATATCCCACAAGGAAAAGTAATCTCAAAAATTATTGCCACATTTTCTATTTTGTCTTAAAGAAGAATAGTGTTGAAAGCACAGTAAGAGAAAATAATGGAGTTGATTTTGTAGGAATGTCTACCAGGACTCATGTAAGATTCAATGGTTATACCAAAATCTTCATTTTTGATTTTAAATACCTGACCTGAGTGAAGTTTAAATCTCAATACTGAAAAGATCATTTTACATGCTTTCAGGTCTCAATAATTTTTAGATATTTGAAAAATATTTTCAAATATTTTTAAATATTAGAAAAGATTCTAATTGAATCAGAAATATTTGTTTCCTTGTTTAATGATCTAATTATGTACATGAAATTAACAAAATTGATCTTAACAACAACAACAACAACAAAAGAACAAGAAGAACTGTGAAGTGCAAAGCATCAAAGATGGTAGATACCTTCTTTTTCAGTTAGAAGCAAACAAAAAAGTTTGATGTTTTTGCTTAACTTTGGAAAAATACAATTAGAAAGCTGAAAATTACTTTTTATCTACTTGGTGTATGTTTATTCTGAATCAGAAAAAACAAGAATCAATTGTCAATAACTGAATTTTGATGTTTTAATTTTAAATGACAATTCAATTTTTATCATGTAAATGAACTTAATATAATGAATTGTGGCATGTTTGTTATATCTTATTTAAAAGTCTATGATATTCTAAGCATGTAATTATGCTCTGCTTTGGGAAATTTTTGCTTACTAGTGATTGAATTGGGTTGCTTTCTTTGGCTTTTGGCTAATTTTTATATTGGTAAATATAAGCATGAAAACTAAACACTTCTTTAAATGCAAGACCTCTGAATATACCCAGGTAAGGGCACATTTCATAAAGAAACACATTACAACTCTGAAAAGTGTTTTTGATTTATAGAATATTTCCAAAAGAAATTCTTTGGGGGTTGAAACTTAAATAAGAGTCCTATAAGAAATGAATCTGAAAGGAAATTTCAATGGGACTGTTCATTCACACATTTTTTTCCACTTAGTCATTCATTAACTTTTGAGTTTGAACTATTATAGAAACTATAGCCAAGTAATTAACTGCATGCTTTTAAAAGGTGAGAAAAAAAAAGATTGGTATGGGTACTAGCATAAAACTTTCAGTGCATAGAAAATGTTACATGAATACTCAAAACATAATAATATAACATATAATAATATAATATACAATTCATAATTTAGAAATAGTTAAGTACTTAATGGCGAAGTAGCATTGGATGGAAAGTACAGATAATGTGTTACAGAATTCTAACAAACGCAAAGATAATTTTCTTTTAAATTATTCAAGGAAAGAGCTTCATAAGAAATTTCCAAGATGGATAATTGTTTCAAGTTTATAATTTTTTAATAACAGGTATTGTTCATTACTCTCTAGAAATAATTTTTTTTCAAAAGGGGGATAAAAGTGCAAAGAGTAATTGAATGACCATCCACAATGCCATTGCTACTTTACCACTTAAAATGAGCAACCATTTCCACGCACAGCTATTTTTCTAGTTTCCTGAGGATTTCAACCTTTGGAAATGACATCTTTTATAATTATGAAGGATAAATGAGGTGAATATCAGGTATAACAAAATGTGACCACGTTTTTGGTTCTATCCATTATATGAATATTTCAGCGCAGGGTATCTTAAAGACTTATAAGAGAGAAATGAAGTAGATACCACTCTAATCTAATGGATATACTGAGTTTTGTCTTCTTTTTCCTTTTACTTCCTACTTCAATGAACTCCGATATTCTTTCACTTGATCACTTGATCCCCCGTTATTCATCGATTTACTCGAGCAGGTGCCAGTAACGTCTCCATTCATCCCTGTTGCGTGCTAGCGTAGCCCAGTGGCATCTGTTCATTCTAGGAACATGCAGAGCCTCAAACCGATCATTCAGGTTCTTGACGAAGAAGTCTGACCATCTTGTAGGTGACTTGACTTCTTCAATATTCTTTCATATTTCATAAATTTTAGATAAGTAATTTCTATCAATGTCCAAACCAGACCCACCCTTGCCTTGACTCTGAGGAGATTGGCTTTGCCTGATGTAAAACATTACATATTATTTCTTATTAATTTCCCATTGGGCTTCCCTGGAACTTTATGTGTCAAATATGGTTCTTTGCATTTATGTTTTGTCAATCCACTCCATTCCCTCATCTCTGAGGATAAAAAGGCCCTCCCGTTGATCGTCGATTTGCTCGAGCGGGCCCAGTAACGTCTCCATTGGAGACTTTGTTGTTACTGTGTCTGGCATATCCAATACTCTCGGTAGCTTGCCGGGCTCTCCGAGAGGGGCGGAGGAATCGAACTCGGGTCGGCCATGTTGGCCGCTTGTAAGGCAAACGCCCTACCCGCTGTGCTATCGCTCCAGCCCATCTCTGAGGATAAGGGGGTACCTAATTATACCATGCAATGTGGGGGAAAGAAGTCATCCTTTTCACAAGAATACAAAATGTACACTGAGAAAGAGGGGAATATGGAAACAAACTATTGAGATTAATGCTTTCAATTAGTAATAATAAAAGACCAGGATGGAAACTATTGATAGGGGGATACTCTCAGAATGTTGCTTGGAGTTCATTCCTGTCTATGCTTGGCTGGGGAATGAGCCCAGTTCTTCCACATGCAAAACCTGAGCACCTGCTGTTGGTCTATGCCCAGCCCAAATGTCTAATTATTCTTACGCTGGAGTGGTAATGAATATAGAGAATGAATATAGAGAGCTCTTCATCATTTAATGATGCTTCAGTGGTGTTTAGTTTCAGTATTTTTAATCTGAGTTACCTCCTTTTAAGAGGAAGAATGTTAATTGATTAAAGATGGGAAATGGTTAAGACTGTTGTGTACCATATCTTTGATACATTATGCATTTTCGACTATGCGCAATTTCATTTTTTCACAAAACGTTTTCATTTTCCTACCTATAAAACTGAGGTATTGAGAGAAACAAACAAAAATTGAGGGGCTAATCAATGGTCACGGGGGTTAGCAAAGATGGTCATAACTGAACTGAGGAGAAGGAAAGAAAAAACAGGAATGTGGAATGATGAGAGTCTCGAAAGAACAGAGTAGTATATACTCAAATTGGCCATGATAACAATATACATGATGGCAATTAGTAACAAGACATTAGGGAAAGACTTGACCATAAGAATAAAAGCAAGCTAAGGTAAAGAAGATTCTTGAAGTCTTATTAAAGATTCAAATATTTCTCAGTTTTCTTTGTTCCCATGCAGGTGCAAGGGAATAATTGCATGTGTATTACTGCCTTATTGAGAGGTGATTTTCCTCTCTACTTTTAAGTCAGTAAAATATTAAGTATTCTCATATATATTCCACATCCCTGGTGGGCTCTGCAAGATGTTATAATAGGCATATATATATGAGGAGGAAGATGGATGTAAGCTAGGAAAGGGAGCCAGAAATGATTCAGACTTAGGCTCTGTAATTGAGATCCATTCTTAGAAACTATAAGGAAAAAATAGCTTTTCTGATGTGTTGAAGCACACTTGTATAAACAAAGCTATGAGTCAGAGTTGCCAATTGTATTCCATCTATAAGATCCATAGAGACCTAGGCCAGGTCTCGTCAAAACATAAAATTTCAAAATCCTCAGCTCAGATCCTGTTCATTCACAATGACTCTGTTCTGCAACCATGGTAAATGTTGATGCTATGTTAACAGAGTTTTTTTTCCCCCCCCCAACTGGGTGATCTGTCTCATTGGCTGTTGATTTATCATGGTGTTTTCCCTTTATCCTTTCAAATATACTTTTGTCAGTACTGTATCTTGTAAATTCCACTTTAAACATTAATCTTTTAAAGAAGCCAAATGAAATGCTCAAACCTGGGTAAAATGCATTAGTTCTGATTCTTTCTCTCTGAAACAAAACCCCTATCTATTTTAATGAAATTTTCTTTGAAACTAAAATTAACTTAGAGTTATATCCTGTTTCATTGCAATGTGAATAAATACATTTCACCATAACATTCATTTGGGGACAGGATCTGGGATAGATAATGTCAGAAGATAATTATTCACTCTACTTCTTTGTGCATGCCATGCACACTAATTTTTCCCATGTCTGGAGACCTAAATTTGAAAGTGTGATTTGTGACATTAAAACCTACAATTGCATGCAATATGGTTTCTCTCGTTTTCCAAGGAGTTATCATCCTAAAAGGTGTTTCAGATATAAGTAGAAATAAATCTTCTACTAAGAAACTCTAAGAGGTCTCCAGGTTTATCCCCTTAGAGATTGTCTATCATACCCAGCTGAGTAGAGCTCAAGTTCAAACATTTTCCTTACTAACCCCAGTAGAGAATCTCTGGAGCACAAATATCCAGCAGGGACATTTGGAAAGGGTGGGTCTTTCTACTAGTGATAAATGCAACCTCAGGATAGCTATTTCTTTGATCACTCTGGTAGATATTGACACTATGTACGCCAACTATGGAACCTGAGAAAGTGGTAGAGTGCTTACGTCAGAAGCATTTCATTTGCACACAAAGGTAGCAAACACATTCAGGCACTGAAAGAGCACAGCTGTTTTAGTACAGGACAGCGGAAATGAAAGGTAAAGGTAAAGGTAAAGGCCCTCCCGTTGATCGTCGATTTGCTCGAGCGGACCCAGTAACATCTCCATTGGAGACTTTGTTGTTACTGTGTCTGGCATATCGAATACTCTCGGTAGCTTGCCGGGCTCTCCGAGAGGGGCGGAGGAATCGAACTCGGGTCGGCCATGTTGGCTGCATGCAAGGCAAATGC